ACAAATAAATCGGAATTTTAAAGCAGAAAAAACGTAAAATCTCTTCCAGGTGAAGCTATTTTAGTATATAGCTAGATACTATTTTAGTATATAGCTAGATACTAGATATACTAGATATACTAGATATACTAGATACTAGATACTAGTCTCTCGTCTCTCGCTATATACTATTTTCTCAGCCCCTCTAAATATGAGCCGTCTGGAAGAAATATTGCGTTTTTTCTGCTTTAAAATTCCCGTTTTTCTCCTATCGCCTCCTTTCCCGTACCGTTCGACGACGCTTATCGTTACGCGTCTTTTCCTACCTTCGTTCGAATTTTTCGCCTTCGACGTTTTCTTAAATTCGCGATTTTCCGATTTCCGTGGAACGGAAAACGTCGCCGAATAGGGGAGCGCGTCTCCCACTAGGCCACTGTTTTCGCCGTTATCGCCGCGTCCGACGTCCGAACGCGTGGTCGTTATCACAACCGCTTTGTGCGTCGTACGTTCCGTCGTTATTTCAATATTGCTTATCCGTTTATTGAATTTAGTGATTTTGTAAATTTTCTACTTTTACCGCTATTGCCGTTTTATATGTACATATTAATCGAAACTCGCCGTCGGTAATTTTACGGCGATTGCGATTAACGTAGTTTATTAATTGTCGACAATGAGAGTGCTGCTGGCTCTAACGATCCACGACGGATTTATTAACACGGGTAACGCCTTTTTATTCGTTAAAAAACACAACAACAAAAAAAAAACTGTGCGTTTGACGTTTTCACAACCGTTGTAAGTCAAATAATTATAATCGATTCCATTTTATAGTTTTTGTACGGCGTTTGTTGTTGTATCCCGAGGAATGTTTCCATAACGGCTCGGCCTATTGGTTCTAACGGACAACTGGATTTATTGCGCGGGTAAATATTTTTTTATACAATATTAGTCGGTCGTTAATTAATATAGTTTTTAAATATATATATTGGTAATGGCACTGATAAATTAATTTGATTTTGTAATTTTTAGACGGTAACGAGTAAGCTAGAGATTGATGATGGCAGTCATTTATTTGATTTAATTTGAATTTATTGCAAAGGTAATTCGTTTTCATTTGTTAAAAAAAATTTATTTCTATTGACTTTTCTTAAAATACAGTTCCTCCTTTTGCATTTTAATCATTAGTTTGCTTTATATATCATTTATTGGTGTGCAATATGTACTACATCAGTCTATAAAATGTATATACATTTTTAATTACTATTATTTTTTCA